GGTAGAGGGAGGGGCCCTGGCTCCAACCGTAGATGAAGGTACTTTGTTGGAATATTAGAGGCCTTAATGGAGCCTCTAAACAACATTTTTTGTGTAAATATATGCATGATCTTGGGGTTTATTTTTGCTGTATTCTTGAAACCAAGATGACTTTGGCCAAATTACAACTTTTTGCTAAAAACAAACTCCCTAATTGGACCTTTACTCAGAATTTTGATATCATTGAAGGGGGGAGAATGGTCATTTTCTGGAATCCTAATTTTGTTAGATGTAATGTGAAGGATATTACTGATCAGTTTATACATTGTGATGTTCAATGCTTAATTACACACAAGTCTTTTGCTATCTCTTTTGTGTATGCTTTGTATAATGTGTCCACCAGGAGAAATCTTTGGGATAATCTGTCAAAGCACTCTGGAGACAGTCCCTGGGCCATTATGGGAGATTTTAACTGTGTGGCTAGCTCTGAAGAGAGACTCAACTGCCATACTCCCACTGCCTACTCCATGATGGACCTAATGCAATTCAAAGTCAATAATGACCTCATTGATGCCAGAGCAACAGGGCTGAAGTTCACTTGGAACAAAGGGAAGAAATGGGCCAAACTGGACAGAGTTCTAATTAACCATGAGTGGGAAACTATCAACTGGGAGTGTTGTGCTGAGTTCTGTGATATGGTGGTGGAATCTGACCACTGTCCTGTTCTTTTGGACCTTTTCCAGAAAGTCATAAAGGGGACCAAACCTTTCAAGTTTTTTAATATGTGGCTAAACCATCAGTCCTTTGACAATATCCTTGAAAATATTTGGAGCACTAGAGTGGAAGGAACCAGGCAATACAGACTCTGCAAGAAGCTTAAGCTGCTCAAACAACTCCTGAGACAACTTAACAACCTGGAATTTGGTCACATCTCACAAAGGGCTTCAGAAGCTAGAAAGGAATATAGCCATGTCATGAAGCAACTACTTCAAACTCCTAATGATGATATTCTCCTGGCTAGGAGTGAGATGCTTAGGAAAAAAGCAAGCTTTTTGATTGATGTAGAGAGATCCTTTTATCAGTAGAAGGTTAAAACTGATCTTATCATTGAGGGGGATAAATGCACTAAGTACTTTCATGCTATGATGAGGAAACAACATGCTCTCAACTCCATTCCTTTCATAACCACTGAACAGGGAGGGGTGACTACTTCTATGGATGAGATTTCAGACCAGTTCATTGGGTACTACAACAACCTTTTTGGCACCACAACCCAGGTTACACCAATCAGGAGAGAGGTCTTCCAAGAAGGGACTAGGGTTTCTCCAGAGCAGGGACACTTGTTGATCAGGAGGGTATCCATGGCAGAGGTCAAAGAAGCCCTTTTTAGTATTGGGAATGAAAAAGCACCTGGTCCTGATGGTTTTACTGCAGCCTTCTTCAAGAGTAAATGGAACATTGTGGGCCAAAGTCTTTGTGAAG